ACATAATCTACAAAGTCAGGAATATATGTATTTCCACCAATTTTCATTGAAATCCGACTACGACTTAAACTAGCTCTAATATAGACAACCGACTCTAATTTGTTTAAAATATCAACCGTTATGTCAATACCCACATACCCGGGTATGTTTTTCATTTTTGAAGTGATATATCTCGAGATCTATATATCGTATCGACTTGAAATTTGGACTATGCTTTCAGAGTAATGTTTGCTATAAATTTTCCAAAAATTAGTTAGATATATTTTTTAAACCGATTTATGACCGATTTTTTATTTTTACCTCATACATCAATACCCGACATACCCGGGTATGTATAAAAATTATATGTCAGTAATCGGACAAAAATTAAGTTTCATTATAAATTTTATGTTTTATTATTAGAATTATATATATTGAGCTAAACAACAAATTTTTCATTGTTCATAATTTTGAATGCGAAATATTTATGGACCCAGTAACATTTACAAATACGGAACGATTTTGATGGTAATTGATTTTGTATACCTTATTAAATAATATATGATGTTCAATTATCTTTCCGGGTCACTGTGTAATAGCTTCTTGAAGTCAAAATTTTACAAAGTCAAATTATGCATAATGTATATTATACGTTATGTAGGCGTTTTACTTTAGGTTTTTTGCATATGATATTTTTGTAATTAGGGAAACAATGAGAAAACTTAAAAAAATCGTAAAATTTAATGGTATGTGTTCAAAAATTATTTAATTTATTTATTCATTCGTTTTATTAAATTATTTGTATTATTTATCTGAATTATACACTATAAATGTATAAAAAGATGAAATAGCCATATTAATTGTATGACATACCCGAGTATGATGGGTGTGGATGTACGTAATTTTGCTCGGGTATAGACAAGACGGTTAATGTAAACCACAGTGTTTTTACTCTTTTTACATTCGTAATTCAGCTCTGGGTGGATAAAGACCTACGCGCGTCATTGCGATTATCGTTTAAGGGTAATCAGGCCGCCCGTGTTCGAGAATTTTGCGTTTCACTCTCGCATTGGTTTAATGTAAAGTGGAGTCGCATAACTGTACCGCGTTACGGTTCTTCGAAGTTTCATGCATTAACCATATGCATTCTTTTTGATAACCTAAAAATTTATTTGATACATGGTGGGGTACCAATAGGCTTGCCAGATTTGAAATCAACGAAAAACGTACATCGTAGTTAAAAAAGCAGTACAATTGAATAAAAGAAGTACAATTGTTTATTTAAAAAAAAAAATTAAATTAAATTGTTCTAAAAACGCTATATTGACATTGGTTGCTATGATTTTTCACAAAAAAACTTATATAAAACTAATTTATGACAATAAAATTAATCCAATTACAAAACATTTTTTTTATATTAGTGTGCTATTAATTTATATATTTTCTTTAAAAAGTGTAAAATTCCCTAAATTTTAGTTTCGTTTACTCTGTTATTCAAATTTGTCATTCTTAAAAACTTTCATTACAGTGATATCTTAATTAAAATTTAACAACTTTAAAGCATTTTGAATAAACGCACTATTTTATGCATGACAAATGCATCGAAACCTCTTATAGTTGAATTTGCCTTTCTGAGCTTAGTAAATCCACTTTCAAACTATGTATCTCTGAAGTCCTTAAATAGCGATTCTATAGAATATTTGTATATGGTCATGATTACATCTATAAAATTATGGTTAAATTCAAAAAAGAAGTACAAATACTAAAAAGAAGTACATTTGCGTACTTCTTTAGGGGTTATGCAGTTAAAAGTACAATCACTAAAAAGAAGTACGCGTACTGCTGAAAACAGTACGTCTGGCAAACCTAGGTACCAAACAAAACTCGTTTAAGGTTTTGGTGGAGACCAGTAAACTCAGGAGCGGAGTTCGGGAATTCCAGCTTCCTATACGAAGGTATAGGTCGGATTGGCAGTTCTTGGACGAGGCTCTTTTAGGCGAACGCCGTAATTGGTGATGGCGTTATGAATATTTCAAGGCCAAATAATCCCTCCTTAGTGGTATCATACTGTTAAGGGGGCAACTTAAAATTAAAACAAAGTATGATTTAAACAAAATTTGGTGGAAATATTACACCAAATATGGGGATTGTGACCACCAATTTTTTTCTAATTCTGATCATAAACTGGTACTTTCTGAAATTATGGAAAGACAGACTTTGCACTATGGGTTATAGAGAGAGTTTGAAATAAAACATGGAGCAATGTTTAAGCAAATCATAAATTCCAGAAAAGAATACAGAAAAACTGACAATTTTTGACCTCATGTCTTTCAATGTCCTTCATATTATCAATATATGTTCTTTATGTAGAAAATAAAACAACACCGTTTTTTATTTTGAAAAATTTCAAGAAACGCGATTTTTGTGGCGGTTTTAATTTGTTCGAAAACTACAAAAAATTAATAAGGTATAAAACTTTGAAGGTTCATATCTTTGAGAGTTTACATCGGATTATGTTGATTTTAAACACAATCTAATACTACGACTGTGCTCTTTCATTATAATATAATTTTTATACTAAATCATAAGTCGATTATTTGAAGCTTTTTATGCAAAATATAAAAATATTTTTTTGTGGCGTGCTTTACATATATCTATATCTACCGAATTTGCATTGGTTCGATTATTCGAAATTCTCGCATAAACAAAATTATATCCCAGCAAAAAAAATTGCGGTAGTGCAAAGTGAATGTAAGTTTCATGACTTCTTTAATAACAGTGCTAATACAACTCATTCGAAATTCTCGCATAAACCAATGAGACGCTAATGTTAAAATCATGCATGTTTCACCTAAATCGAACCACTTCGTCATCACTTGCACCTCTGATGAAACAACATTTTTATCATGTAACTTTTTGCTGGGATTATAATGAAAGAGCATAGTATTAAATTGTGTTATAAATCAACAAAATCCTATATAAACTCTCAATGATACGAACCTTCAAAGTTTTTTACATTTCTGATTTTTTGTAGTTTTGGAACAAATAAAAATCGCCACAAAACTCGCGTTTTTTGGAAATTTTGAGGATATAACGTTGGTATGTCTTATTTGTCTAATAGAGTACCTGTGTTAACAAAAAATTAAAGAAATCTGAAGATCATCGGTCAATTCTTAATTGATTTCTCATGGAATTCATGATATACTAATTGCTTATGAATAACGTAAAAATTATGACAAATTTGTTATTAGTACAATCTATATTAAGAATTGAAAATATTAGTGCAATTGAAAAATAATGCACTATAGCTCGAAAACTAATGATACGTAAAAATATTCTCCAATCAAAATGTAGCAATTTTAATTCCTTACCAATTATGATAAGGGGAAGCTATGTGCAAATTTTCAATTAGCTATCTGAAATTCCCCAGATTGCTCATTTTTTGCCTAATTTTCCTGGGGTAAGTATCAAGAGTTTTAAAAACGTTTGACTACAAACCAAGACAAATACATAATACATACTACTACAACTTCAGACAATTCTTTGGAGCGGTAGTTAAAGCAATAATAAAAAACTTAGTAGGAAATGTAGTTTTTTTAACCTTGTTTTTACTGGAAAATATGCAAACACATCTTATGTTATATTTATACATAAGTGATAAGCTAGGTCTTTTAGTTTTTATGTTCAACTACTTTTGTTATAGTGCCGTTATTTTGTGTTAATAAAATTATAAAAGTTTGTCGGCGAAGTCCAATTTTTTTGTTGACATTTGTTTTGATGCAATATACTGGAATCAATGAAGCAGCCGATTTGGGTTCAAAAACCTACAAAAGACCATGCTTTCTCATGACAATTGAATCGTTGCTTCGGAACGAATTGAATCGTTGCTCCGGAACGAGCATAGTTACACTCGAGCAAAGATTGGTAAATTGTGTTGTTTGACGACATATCATGGTTTGGCGATATATGTACATATTTTTTTAGTTAAGTAAATAATCGGCAAAAGAACGGCCTGTGGAATTATTTTAAAATCAACATTATACTTCCGGCTATTAATTTACACTTTCAATATGTATTTATTTGTTTAGAACGTTAATATTAAAAATGATTTGCTTATAGCAACCATCAAGGTATATTAATTTTATAAGGTAGTGTCATCGGCGAATTCAGAATACCAAGCGAATTGGTTATATTTTTTTTATATGTAGTTTGACATTGTGCCCAAGATATATTAATTATAAGGTAGTGTTATCAGAACAGCTGATCGTTTTTTGCTATTATGTTCATTTTTCGCCGTGGTGTATAATTAATGTCAAACTTTGTTTACATTTTGTAAATGTCAAACTTTGTTTTCATTTTGTTAATGTCAAACTGGTTTCATTTTGTATATGTAAATTTTGTGATTAAAGTGAAATTGTGTGATTAGGGTATATTTTTGTGTTTTTAATCTTTAAAAGTTAAAACATCAAAATAAATTATAAACAGATTCAAATTTATAAACATTTTTTGTTTAATTTAAATTCGCTTTGATGTATTTGTCAGCTGTTTTTGAAATTTTTCCCTTACAGCCAATTCGCCTTCAAGTGCAGGCACAATGTCAAACTACATATAAAAAAAATATAACCAATTCGCTTGGTATTCTGAATTCGCCGATGACACTACCTTATAAAATTAATATACCTTGATTGTGCCTGCACTTGAAGGCGAATTTGCTGTAAGGGAAAAATCTCAAAAACAGCTGACAAATAAATCAAAGCGAATTTATATTAAACAAAAAATGTTTATAAATTTGAATCTGTTTATAATTTATTCTGATGTTTTAACTTTTAAAGATTAAAAACACAAAAATATGCCCTAATCACACAATTTCACTTTAATCACAAAATTCACAGATACAAAATGAAACCAGTTTGACATTAACAAAATGAAAACAAAGTTTGACATTTACAAAATGTAAACAAAGTTTGACATTAATTATACACCACGGCGAAAAATGAACATAATAGCAAAAAACGATCAGCTGTTCTGATAACACTACCTTATAATTAATATATCTTGGCAACCATATTTATTGTAAACTATGTATGCATGGATGTATGTATATAATGTAGTAATAATAAACAAAGGTATGGATATTCATATGTATCTTAATTATCATCGTTGTTTAAAGCAGTAACTTCACGCCTTATTTGAGTGATGACTTCAGCTAACGCCTGAGGATGAACTCCTGCTTCAATAAGTTTAATACAAGTATCCAAACATTCCGCGTTGAGGCCAGTATTGAGTAATTGTGATATTCCATGTATATTATTGCGTATTACTTGTGATTGTTGAAGTTTTAAGTAATTACTTCCATTAACTTTGTTAGACCCTCCATCAACAAAATCTCCACATGAATTATTTGACATTTTGGCCAATAAAGTCATTTAGTTTATCATACAGTAAGTTTACTCCAGACAGAAACATAAAAAAATTTTGTTTGTTTGTCGATGTTTACACCACAGATCAGAGATACAAGCCGATGCAAAATGATCGACGGCGCAACCATTTTAGGTCGGAGGCGGCGGCATATTATAGGAAATATCGACGGCGGCTAAATTGTCGGCTCAATTTAACTTTTTCTTCAGAAATTGACCTTATAAAGGTTTATTATATTGAAAAAACTCTGTATAATAGTCTGTTATATAGAAACCTGTCTCTGTATAAATTTTTCATTCAGAAAATGGACATTATTATAGTAGTTTCACTTTTTTAATATTAGCACAATATTGTTTGGCAACTCTTTTCAATTTGCCATAAGAATTCAAATTGGCGAAATAATTTTCTGAAATACATGTGCGATTCCAATCTTCATCAGCGGCTACGTTTAAGCCGGCTCAGCTTTTGATCCGAAAGAAGTCGGCGGCGGCGCGGCTTGCAAAACATTACCGGCGGCCAGGCGCCGCCGATTTGAGCCGTCTCGGCTTGTATCTCTGGAGCCCTCACGGTTGTATCTCTGCCACAGATATAACGTTTACACGCTTCAACTTTGAGTTTGTTTCATATAGGAAAAGAGGTGAAAAACACCATTCTTCTTCCCCTCCAACCAAGGCGAATTCAGATAAGGTGATGGCAGTTCTGCAACAACATTTTACACGTATTATGTTTTTGCATTTGGTTTACGTAGATGTCAAAAACCATAAGTACGGCGAATTCATTTGATGAAAAATTTTTGTAAAATGTTTATATTTTATTAAAAAATAAAGATAAAGATATTAAAATTTGTGAGGAAAATATATTCTGAATTGAATAATGTTTGTTTCAAACGAAAAATTCTATTCCGGCAGATTAATTTGCAAAATTTAAGTGAGTGCCTGAAGTTAAGTAAAACTTAATTTTATGTGAAATATAAACATAAAAAAGTACATACTCATGAAAATATTATATTACGAATAAATGAATATTTGTTGCGAATGGATAATTCTACTCCGGCGGAGTAATTTTCAATAATTGGCCATAATGTAGCAGCCGCCGGACGGGTAAATACCTCATATGGGTTTTGTTATATAAAACGTTCCGGAACAGACTTTTTTTAGTTAATCTCTTTATCTACATAGCGTATATATAAAACAATATTATTTAATTTGTTAACATTTAAAGGATTTCAAAATTAAGCCATAACGTAGAAAGAAGTCAGCTGCCGCCAGCCGGGTAAATACTTCATATGCGTTTCTTAATATTAAGTGTTCCGGAAGATATTTTTTTAGTTAATCACGTTATCTGCACAATTTTAATATAAAACAATATTGTGTAATATGTTAACATTTAATAGAAAAATATTTTTCTTAAATAACATATTTTTATACATACCAATTATGCCATTATTTAAATAAAATGATATTTGTTTACGAGATGTTTGCTATTTTCAGATTTTTTACATAAATAATTCAAAATATTAACGAAGTTTTTCTCCGTTTAAGGGACATTTTTAAATATAAAAATGTAAACAATAACAAACTTTGACAGCTACGTAAACCAAGCGAATTAAGAAAAAAATTATCAGCTGATTGAATAACACCACCTTATATGAATTCGCCTTGCATAAAAGTTAGCAACAAAATAATAAAATTCTATAGTTAAAACAAAAAGTCGACTTTTCGAGATTTTATTCTTACCGTAATATTAAAACCATTTCAAAAATACCAACCAACCAAACTGCTATTTAGTTTTTCAAACTTTGTTCTAAGTTTGTAAATAAATTATAATTGAAATCATTGGTTATTGTTAATTGTACACTTTATACTTGAAGCAAAAATATAATAAAGACTTTTGGAATGTTTGCAAGTATTTTTTTAATTAAATAAAATTTATTTATCTTAATTAACATTCTCTTACAAGTAGTCGGCTTACCGAATTTATTAAGATAATAAATTCGAATTTTTCCGACAAAAGTCGATTCTTTGAATTTTTTGAAGTCGATTTATGGAATCCTAGTTAGCAGTATAATCACAGGGTTGTGCAGTTTTTTCCGGTTTCATTAAATGAATTCGCCGCAATTATTGTTTTTGACATCAGTGCCTACCAAGGTATATTAATTATAAGGTAGTGTTAATAGAGCAGCTGATTGTTTTTTGCTAATACACTTTTGATTTTTTATATGTAGTTTGATTGGTGCCTACCAAATGCAAAAACAAATTAAATGGAAAATTTTGTTGTTGCCGAACTGCCACCACCTTATCTAAATTCGCCTTGAACCATCTCTTTCTCCCACCAAAAATCAAGTTTTCCAAAAAAAGTTTCTCTGTGTGAACCACCACTATAGTGTTGCCCAACAACCAAAATATATAACCCTGCAGTTACACGTTCAAGTTTTTCACACACACTACTTGTCAAAATTCTTTTGAAATTTATATTGAATTTCATCTCTGCACACGTATTTTAAAGCCAGTAATGAGCGTTATACCCCGTTCACATGATGCAATTATCCGTCATTCACGCTCTCATTCATCATTCAACCGCCTATTACATAATAAATGACATACAAAATTTCATCTGCGAATTACACAAGCTGTACGTAATTCAGTTTGAATAACAAACGAATTAAGAATGAATGAGTGTCATCTTTAATTTTAATCATAATCAGCTGTTTGTTTTAATTTGTTGGAGACAAACAAAAAATAAAATTACAAAAAAAATGCAAATAAATAGAAAATATATAACTTAATTTGTTAAAATAATGTAACAAACGTATTTTTGTATCATACACATACACTAATATTCCATAACATGACAAAATAAAGTATGAAACAAAAAACATGGCGATAAACTGTAAAAAGGAATCACGAATGTGTCGTAGATACGGGTTAATTGCCTATTATCATTCTGAGGCTAAATTAAGTAATTCAACTGCTCGTGTGAACTTGGTATTAAAGTCATCTTCATCATATATAGACCGGATTTGGTACGTGTAAAACTTATTTATGTAGAATTCTGTTATTTTTTAAACAGTTATCACTGTTTCCACTGGCTTGAATTCTACTAGATTTTTGTGTAAACCTCTTCGAAATTTTTCTTACTAGACAATCGATTTATAGAACCCTACTTTTGATGATTTAAAATCGCGATTTTTTGACGTCTGGCAACATTTTACTAATTTTATCTGGCAACTACGATTACGGGTAGGTTTTATTCGAAGCAAACGTAAATAGTAATAAGTACAAAAAGAAAAAAAGAATTATTAGAATTTATTTAATTTACCATCAGCATAATGGCCGACGATCTACAAAACTATAAATTACAACTTCAGCAGGTTAAGAATTAAGGAAGTTTTCTAAATTTCTGTAGTAATCTTGAGTTATTTTGCAGGTGGAGGCTGCATTATTGACTGATCCGGAAAATGATGAATTACTCAAATTAAAAAAGGACTTGGAAGAAGTTATTGAATTAACTCGCGATCTTATCAAAACACAGTTGGAAGAACAAAAAAAGTCTTCATATATTGAACCATCAACTTCCAAGGCATCTGCTTCTTACGATGAAATAGAGGCAGCTTTATTGGAAGCAGAAAAACTTATTGCTCCCGGAAAAATATGGAAAATTGGCGATAAATGTCAAGCGAAATGGACAGAAGACGGGCAATATTACGATGCTACCATAGAAGGCATAACAGATGATGGCGAAGTTAGTGTTATTTTCGATGCCTATCAGAATCGCTCAACCACACTGCTGAAGGAGCTGCGGGAACGCTCGGCACGCAACGAAGTATTTCCATCAAATAAACGACATAGACCTAACCAAAAAGAATACTTAAAAAAACGTAAACAGAAAAAGCTTCAACGATTCAAAGAGCTAGAAGAGGAACGAGAACAGGATAAGAACAAGTGGCTTAATTTTACATCAAAAAATTCAAAAAAACATGGCGTGGTGTCAAAAAGTATATTTGCATCACCAGAAAATGTAGAAGGTAGAGTTGGAATTGGTACCTGTGGCGTTTCGGGCAAAGGAATGACTGATTTTACTGTAGGCGAAAAATATCGCAAGGGACTATAATATTATTATGTTTACACTGCCGCCTCTCAATTTCCTGTCATTTCTGATGTAAGATTTTTTACAGATACATATAATAGTTACCATTAGATATAAACGTTAAATCGTAAATACAAATGTAAGTGTTTAAGAATTATAACAGTAAAGATACAATAAATATTTCGCATACTTACTTGGACAATGTTTTATTTTGCTCCTGTATGCTTCCTGATTGATCAACACTGATTCGCTTCTGTATTCTATATTGATTTTCTTTAGCATCTTTAAGAATTTGCATAGCAATACTATTATTTCCAGCTTTTTCATGGACGCGAGCCAATAATAAAAGTCGCTTAGTTCTCAATTGTAGTCCATCAATGTCCAACAATTCTCTGTTATAAAAAAATTTGCATAAAAATATTTATTGTAATAAAATCTAGAACTATTGTATGTAGATATTAAAACTTCATGCAACTTCCATAGCAAGATCTTGTAGAGTTTGAACAGATATCTGTTCATATGTTATCAGTAACATACATACATATCGTCACCTAAAACGCAAACGGCAAAAAACTATTGAAATTGAAAGGTTTGTTTCTATCAACGCGATTTATTTTTAGTAAATAAACAAATTGTTTAATAGAGAAACCTATCAGTTGTTATGATAGTTGAAAATGGTGTATATGAAAATGTATAAATTGGACTTTTTACCTTTAATCACCCCTATTCAGCATTTCGATTACATTTCCGCATTCAGCTACGCCACGAGCGAAAATAGGCATTCCAACAAAAACGGAATCGTAAGAAAAAGAGGAAGCAATTTCATTTTATTTCAATGCTTAACGATTGCATGTATTCTACATTACGACGGATCTTCGAATCGAAATGCCGAATATCAAAGTTGCGAAACGGAGAAAATTTCGATTCGAATTGAAATACAGAATAGGGGTGAATATTTAAATTTTTTTAGATAGGGCCTTTTGTTTTTTGTCAATAAAATCGTAAATTTTGGTCGGAGGAGTCCAATTTTTTGTGTAGACATTTGTTTTGATTTTTGGTTAGACAGGGCCGTTTGCGTTTCGGGTGACGATATGTAACATGTATGTATATTACGAAATCTTTATCTACTGAATTAATATACATTTTGATAGGTGTGAAATTCTGATAATTTTTTTGAAAAATGATTACAATATTTCATTAAAAAAGATTTTATAACTAAATCGGAGGGGTTAAAGTGGTCAAAGCGTCTATAGATTAACACTTCTTTAAATTTACTTATTGAATCTAATAAAACTACATGGATTTCGCTCATGATATAAAACCTATATGGATTTCTTTATTCTGCCGTTTAAGTCCAGAAAAAATATTTAAAAAATCTAGGACGTAAAAAAATCTCAATTATTCATAAAAAAGAAAATGCTAAAAAATAGTTAAGTTAGGAGGAACAAATTTAATATTTAGAGTTCTAATTATTTTTTATATACAAAATTTTACTGGTCTTACTCCCAACACTCTAACAATGGATGCCTGCCATTTTTATCACTCACACTTCCAAAAGTTTTTCGGAAAAAGTATAAATGAGAATGTAAGTAATGAACTATGAGGGATAAATTCAGATCCATAAGTTTGTAATTCAGGAATAAAATGCGAATAAAATATTCGAAATTTATTATATTTTTAATAAAAAAAATGTATAAAAAAATACTAAAAATCGGGCCAAAAAGAAAAAAATCTGGTAAAAAGTAGGTTAATTAAGACCTAAATTTTATATTATTGACTTTTTTTCCTGAGTGGATTGTTAGGTTTCCAAAACAGGTGCAAGCACCCAAAAATCAATTCTCATTTTCGAATATTTTTCCAGCACTACTGAAACAAGATGGTAAATGAAAACCACTTTATCTCAAAATTTCGACGTATAGGAAAAAAATAAAAATTGTTAAATAACCACAGGACGTAGACCTTTTTAAAAATATATGTTTCATTCCATGAGCAAACAAAAAATATTAATTTATTAACTTGTATAATTAATATAAGTTTTTAAAATTTTGTAAATAATAAATAAAAAATATGTACTTACATTTGTTTTTGATCTTCATTTTTTGTTAAAACTTCTTCAGCGCTTTTAAACTGTCTTAACTTTAAAAAAAGTTCGGCTAAATTTAGATTTAAACTTTCATGATTTTGGTTTTTTAGTGCCTCTTGATAAAATTGTATAGCTTTAACATATTGATGTGTTTTAACGTAGGCTCTACCCAATTTACTAGCTAAATGAGAATCATGTGGATTTAACTCTAACGCCTTTTGATATGCCTCAACAGCTAAATCCGGCTCTAAAAAATAAACAGAAATATTAATTAAATTTCCTAACGAAAAAAAATTTTTATTATTATTATTTTTATCTTTTGAATATTTACTTAAAATTATTAAAACATTTAACAACTTAAAAAGTATGTAAAGAAACTACAAAAAATAGCGAAAGAAAGGAAAAGTAATCTAAACAAGTTAGAGTGCTATATTCGGCTATGCCGAATCATAATTACGCTCCACCAGCAAGTTACTTTTTATTAAAACCCACATTATAACACTTCATAGGTTTTGTTTCCGTTGTGAGGGTACCATCATTTAGTAATTTCTTTATGGAACTTATTTTAATTAGGTCGAAAAAAAATTTCGGATATTTTCGGATATGGACTTTTGCCGATGCCAAAAAATTTAGGAGAATGATTTGTATATTTACAAACCATATTTCTGTCGAGTTTTAATCCAACGTCGAGATTTTTATGAAATATATTCCTTTTAGTATTTATTGAAACGATGTTTTTTCCCTTATATGGGAGCTACGACTTATAATGGACCAATTAGAAAACATGTTAGCAATATGATTTATCTATGTTGAATTTTATCCGGATATAATCCGGAAGTGAACCTTATATAGTAGCTATGACTAATTATGGACCAATCTGGAAAAAAATCCGTATACTATACACAAAACATATTCACGTTGAATTTTACCCCGATAGCTTTATTAGATAATATTATATGTGCATTTAAGTGATTTTCGGAAGTTGACCTAATATGGGAGCTATGACCAATTACGGATCTATCCCGAAAAAAATTCGTAGAGTGATTGATACATACAAAAAAATTAATGGCAAATTTTATCTCGATATCTTTATTTATTAATGAAATATGCGCATTTAAGTGATTTTCGGAAGAGGGCCTTATATGGGAGCTATGACCAATTGTGGACTGATTCGAAAAAAAATTAATATATACACAAAACATATTCGTGTCGAGTTTTATCCCCATAGCTTTATTAGTTAATGAAATATGAGCGATTAAGTGATTTTCGGAAGTGGACCTTATATGGGAGCTATGAGCAATTATGTACCGATTTGGAAAAAATTTCGTAAAGCGCTTGATACATACACAAAACATATTCATGTCGAATTATACCTCGATAGCTTAAATTATCAATGATATATGCGCGTTTAAGTTATTTTCGGAAGTGGGCCTTATATGGGAGCCATGACCAATTGTGGACCGATAACAATCTACGTTAGTGGTACGATTTCTGTTCATATTATATTTATATGTGCAAAATTTTGAGTTGATACCGATATATTTGAGGAAGTTATTAACGATAAATCAATTTACGGAAATATGTACCCTTGTATGGGGGCTATGGGAAATTCGATTGTTATGATATTAAACATAATTGATCCCTAGGTAAAAAAAATGACGTGTGACAAAATTTATCGAATTATCTTGTAGTTGCTGAGAAAACTGAGGTAGTCTGAAATTTTTACTCATAACTTTTAACGTTGTGAACCGATTTTGCTGATTTCACTATGCAACAAATTGAGGGTCATGGTCTGGAGGGGTGAAAAATTCCCATGATAACTTAAAGTACTAGGTTAGAGTATTAAAGCCCCCAAACCGTTCGGCGTTGGTAGGTCAATCTTTTATGTTATCGGTCATTGAAAGTTGCGCTTTTTAACACTAAGTTTATTAAAACTTTACAAATACTTTCAGAGTTCACTTGAAAAACATATGTTTTGTTCAGCTATCTGCAGAACAACTTTGCAAGGAATATATCTTGCAGATTTCGGACCACAAATATTGATTTTTTAATGGGTCATTCGGGTCCATTTTGTAAACACTTGTTATGCAAAGATATAAATGTTTATCGGAGTAGGGCGACAGTGGTATCATTTAAAAGGTCTTTCGAAAGCGCACTGGTAAATGTAAAAATCTCCAATATTCATAACGCAGCTTCCGTAAAATTATAAAATATTAATAAAAGATTAAATTTTTTCGAATAGTATACGGATTATTTTGACAAATTAGTCAAATTTTATTTAATTTCTATGTGATTAAATGAATCTTCTATTTTATTATTTTTTATATTCGCGTTTTTGTCCATTCTTTTACAGTCTCAAAATTTATATCTAAAACGTGCAATTATTTTCAAATTAAAATATTTTCCCCCACCTTTTTATACCAAATGTGTAAAAAATCAAAAATTTTCTTTTAAAAAAAAAATATTATAGTTTAAAGTTTTCAAAAAAAAACATATTTTAAGAATTTAAATATATTCAAACTTTCCGCATTTAACTTTTACACATTAAACAGTGCATTTCGCCATTTAGTAAGCCGTTTAAATATCATTTTTTCGATTTTCCAAAAAATGTGCTTTTATTCGGAAAACGCGAAAATTTCGATATGGATGTTCTTCATTTACATATTATTCAATGGCACTTCGAAGGAGCTTTCATATGTTACCCCATTCGTTAATAGTTTCTATTAATTAAAGTTAAAAATCCCGTTAACCCACTATGAACTTTCAATTAGCGATAGCGTAAAAGTTTCTTCGGGGGTTTTAATACACTAATGACATACTTTCATTTTGTGAAGGAATTTTTCGCCCCCCCAAAAATAGTGTTGCATATTGAAAATTTTCAATACCAAACTGCTTAGGATAATAATGAATATTTTTGGTGAAATAGGTTTATTTCTTTTGCTTAGTTAACGTGAGTGTGTTTTAGGCAGACAGAAAGACGGACATAGCTAAATCGACTCAGAATTTGATAAGGACCCGGAATATATACTTTGTTGGGTATCAGATTAATTGCCCCTATTGTGGTTTACAACTTAACTCTTCTTTAGCTGAAATTTTGCTCTTTGGTATTATCGATAACAACTTAAAATTTAAAGTTGAAATTTATTACAACGTTTTTGGAAATTTTACAACTCAATTGTTTAGAATAAATTTTTAAAATAAAACAAAGCAAAGTTTTTTTTTTAATTTCCTTAAATTTCATTAATCACTGATTTCAATCGAATTTACAATAAAAAGATGTTCAATACTTTTGTCATTTACCATAACAAACAATAATAAGTTAGAATCAGTAGAAAAGTACGTTCTCAATTTGACATGCCTTGAATTGTCACAAAAAAGAAAATTAAAAAATATAAAAAAACATCAAATAAAAATTATTGAAAATTTTTTTGTGAAGAAAATAAAATTGGATAATTTGAATAAAAAAGATCGCAAAAAATCATAAGCAGGATAAGCAGTAGTAGTAGTAGTAGTAGTAGTAATTTTTTATTGAGACTTATTTCATTTTTGACACTACGAAAATCTTATAAGAGTAAAGATATATGTAACAAGGTTTCTTAGAACTATATTCGTCTTATTCTAATACACGGTGAATTGAAATGGCTACTAGCCTGCAAAATGGATGGAAGATGTAACACTATGTGTACATTATATTTTTATGAAATGTCAATGCTTGCTCGCGGCATTTATGTTGACTAACAGAGCTATGTCTGTTAAAAATAAATAAACAATACAATAATCAAAACTAATATATACAATACAAACAATACTGTCAAGTAACGTTAACACAACAGTGAAATTGAACAAATCAAAATTTACAGTTAACAGAACGTTAAACCAATTAAAACCGAAAGGTTTCCAGATCGTGATCACAAATTAATATAATTATCCGAAAGGAGTTCATCTCACAGAGATAGATATAAAATCGGACTCTATCTGATTCCAATAAACCATCCATAAAGCAGTTTAGAAGGCAATAAGTAGAATTTTCAGTGAAAATAATACAATTCACCACCCGTAACCTTAAAAAATGGTACCAAAATCCAGTAAACTAAGTATATAAAATATCACATATATGTATGTATAAATATCACAGATAAATTCGAAAAAAGTGTATATAAAATATCAGCCCCTGTGTGTCCCCTGGTCGGATTTCCTGAAGAAATCTGGCAGTTCGTAGATGGCGTCGTCCAAGATAATATTCTCATTGAGTATTCCAACAGGAGATAGATAATAGGGGTTATGCCAGCTGATATCCCTTTGTGCCGCAAAAATCTCGTTCATTAGATGGTTCTCATGATCAGCGAGACGGTCCACAAACTTCCTTTGTAGAGCTAGAGCATACTTGCAAAATGGAGTCACAGAAGCAGTCTCATAGATGAATGAGTTGGAAAATCTTTCCGTATGATTTTTAAAGTTGCGGTTTATACATTTACGTAAAATATTTCTTTCCAGAAGTTCTATCTCTTTCGCAACCGTTGGAGATATGGAAAACCATATTGGAAAAGCATATGTTAAGACGGATCTTATTGCCACTTTGTACAGGAGGAGTTTAGTATTTTTGGGAAAATAAGTACTATTCAGCAACCTAGAGAACATCGAAGCAATGCGTTTAGTTTTTGTCAGAAGTGTTCGTCCATGGCAGTTAAACTTAAAAAGTTTGTTGAAATTAACTCCAAGGTATGTTATATTGTCTTTTATTGGGATTTCTATCCCATTTAGTGTGAGAAGTAGGCATTTACTTTGGGGGACCACGTAGTCTGCACATTTGCCCGATGCGTTTCTAATACATATAGCCTTCGATTTTGCAGCATTTATCTTAATTCCCCATTTGTCGTAGAAATCACGGATAGAACCCAAATGTGCGGCGGTGTTTTTCAGTGCTTGTAATGGCGAATCATTGTGGCTGTAAACCAAACAATCGTCAGCATATAAGATTGCTGTGGAGTTATCTTTTGTATGCGGAAAATCATACAATAATATGTTGAATAAATATGGAGCAAGAATGCTACCCTGTGGTACACCACTGTTCACAAACCCGCACGAGGAAATACTGTCCTTTATTTGAACACAAAATTGTCGGTCTGTAAAGAAACTTTTAAAAAGTTTAACAATAAATGGATCTACAGCGAGTTCTACCAGTTTATACAGGATGCCTTTATGACATGTGTAATCAAACGCCTTCTCGATATCCAGTGATATGGCCAG